ACTTAAGTGCTGGTGATTGAAGTTAATATCTTTAAGTATTTCCTACCCACGAGTATAATTAAACTGAAAGTTTTGTCTGCTTAATTTTAGCCTCGGTCTCACTTACTCCCGGCAGAGCCCAGGACCATCCCGGTAAGTTACCGGGATGATCCGGGACGATCCGGGATGAAATTATTGTTGCGGTCACACTTACCCCGGCAGCACTACGGTAGTTCCCTACTAACCACCCAGGATGCGCTCCGGATCATCCAGGCAGAGCCCAGGTGAAGCTACGGTTCATGCCGGTGCTTCCCCGGTCGTTCCCGGATGACGCCGGAAGAGCCCCGGTTGACCCAGGCAGAGCCCCGGTCGATCCAGGCAGAGCCCCGGCAGAGCCCAGGACGATCCAGGCAGAGCCCCGGTAGAACCCCGGTGGATTGAAAACGCCCGAAAATGATAACTTTGATAAATAATTTTTATTTAATTTAATATCTATTGTTCCAGAATAGTAATTCATGATGATTTTCTGAAAAATCCTTATGCAATACTGGATAGAAGGGAAATGGGAAGGCTTTTAATACAAACAAGTTCAATCATCACAAATTGTCCTTATTTTTTTTAAATGATCCGGGCTTTGCCGGGGCTCTACCGGGGCTCTACCGGGATCAACCGTAGCTCTTTATCCTCCGGGGCTCTGCCTGTAGTTACCGGGGCTCTGCCGGCATATACCGGGGCTCTACCGTAGCTCTACCGTAGCTCTACCGGCTATATCATAGCCCGGATCATCCCCGGTTTGTGCCGGCAGAGCTACGGTGCTTTCCCGGTATCACCCCGGTCGTTCCCGGCAGAGCTAAGGATGATGCCGGCAAAGCTATACCTTCCCGGACCACCCCGGTGATATTAAATATTTTATTCCATCCGGGGTTGAATGCCGGATGTTCCCGGATCATCCCGGATCATCCAGGACGTTGCCGGCAGAGTTACGGATGTACCCCGGTTGTTCCCGGTCGTACCCCGGTCGTTCCCGGATCACCCCGGACGTCTACCGGGGCTCTGCCGGGGCTCTGCCGGGATGTAAGTGAGACTGTAGCTTAAGGTGACCATCAAATAAAGGTTAATTAAGTTGTTAGATTTATAAAACTATGCCACTTTTTAATAAAAACTCGAATATGTCGAAATGATGTATATATCATTTTAAACATTCATTTAACTTTCTTGTTTTAATCGACATTTCACTATCGAAGAGAATGATAAGAAAACTGATTTAGTCGTTCAACGCTTCCATCAGATTTTGGATTTTAACAAAAAATAGAAGCACATAGGTCAATTCATCGGTACAAATAAAAATCTCAAGAAATTTGGCAGCTGAAGTTGGAAGGGCGGAATATCAAGATTTCAGGAATCTTTTCTCTCCTCGAATAAATCAACAAAAAATACTACTGGTAGGCAGCCTAAAAGATAAAAATCTATAGTAAAAGGGTAACCAACGCAACTCTCCTCGAAATTTAGACAATTTAAATCGTCCGGATTTTCAATGCAGTGATATATGATATAGGACATTCAAACGTTTATGGTTACATTAATAATATTCATATTTTGATATTTATTAAGATCCGAGAATTATACTATTTACACTTACTTATTTCATGAATGTGACTTATAAGCCCGCATGGCAGCGTGATTACAGCATTAGTACGTATTTCGTTTATTCTTTATTGCGGCCGGAAAATGTCGCACAGTTCATCGTCTGAATGGTTTATATTTTCGGTTACTCGGTTGTTTCATGATCATTGATTCATTTGGTATAAATCTGAAACTCTGGCACTTCTTAAACTCATGAGAGATGTTTCACAATTTATCGTCTCCGATAAACATACTGTCAAATATAGTCTGCATTGTTTACTTATTGCTTTGTGTTTTATCTCTCTAAGATTCTTTCTATTAGCGTGTACTAAATGTCTTCAAGAAATAAAAGGGAAAATGCTATACAAATATCGCATTATAAATGAAAATAGAGTGATAACTTCGGATATATTAACATATGAAGCTGTTTTATTTCAAAATCATGATAAATGATTCGCAATAAATGAATCACAACTGACTTTTATTTCATTTATTTTATTGTTATCAAACAATCTAAAATAGAAAATTAATATTCTTTTGAGTAATAAGGATCTCTTAACATGTGAGAAAGCGATTATTTTTCTTGGTTTGATTAATCATAAATACCCCTAGATAGATGTTATCAACCTTTTTAATGAATTGCAGCAATAAAAGTATCGTTTCAATGTTCATTGTTCATTGTCATTAAAATTAATTAATTTGTTGGTTTTAGTTAACTCCGAAATTGTGATTGATTCATGGTGACACATTTTTTATGAGTCAGTATCGAGTCAGTATCGATCTTTATTGTTTCACTTTACTATCTATTGTCACGAGTAAAAACACAGTCATATTGTAAGAATAAACATGCACTCTTGATGTATCAATTACTGTCCAGAATGAATCAAGACAACGCATGTGTCATAATAGTTCATGTAATGTGTAATTGACAAATCTTTTACTTCGAGAAAATGTCCTCGCGTATGTCTTTGAATAATAAAAATCGTGCCCTCGGTATGTAAGGATGATTAACTTCAACGTCTTTGATGTGCGTGTGTGCGTTCGTGTGTGCGTGTGTATCTCAGATATTAAAATGTGTTAAAAAAACCAAAAGGTTTGAAAGTTCATTTAGAGCAAGATCGAAATACGAGTAGTTACATATTTGTACTTATCATTTCCCGATGTATCTAGGAAAGGTTGTTGACATTAATTGGTATTGAATAAAAGTCGGTATGGCAGTTTGTCTACAAATTACCTTTTAATGGTTGATTAAAGCTGTCCACAAGCTGTTTCTCCATACATGAATATTTTGTTGACATCTTTTGTTCTCTTGTTCTGTTTTATGAGTAGCTTTTTTTAAAAATGTTTTCATTTTTATGTGATCAATATACTTGTTGACCAGATACTGTCAGCTTTATGCCACCACATCTGTGGTGATTTCTCAACATTAAATGCATTAAGGCCGACCACCAGGACTGCAAAAAAGATATATTCTTGCACTTAAGCTTATGATGACTTTGATCAGCATCATGCACACTTGTTACACTAGATTTACTGCATTGACATTAAAAAGTATTATTCCGGTGTAAAAGAATAAAAGTTATATAAACACGACACTATTTGAATTTCATCATTAATTTACAAATGCCTTTACAGTTTATATCGACTGTGTAACATGTAACAAGTCGAAAATCACATCAGTACACGATTCAGCAATGGTTTCATTTCAGTTGAAATCGGTGCAATTAAAGGCATTATTTATCTTTATATTCAATGTATGGCAATTGTACATACATATGTATTGATTGAAAAATATTTCAGCTCGGCTTATCAGTCGTTTTACGAATTCATTAATATAAAACTTTGCACGAGTCCTTTAGGAGCATTGATTCCGGAACTTTTAGCGTTGTGGATAGAATACCGCTAAAACAGGCACTAGGGGCATGAGTGACGGAGTCTGAGATTTTAAACTATTTTTTTGACAAACATAGATTGAAGATTTGAGCCCCTACGGAAAGTTTTCCTATTAGAGGCATGGTTTACAGATGAAAACAATTTTAATAAAACAATGTTCATTTTGAAAGTCTCTCAATATTGCCTTTGTGATTTGTAAGAAATAAATAGTTTAAACTAATCATACAAACTGTGGTATTTTCTTTAATGCCAGGCAAAGTCTTTGTCTTCACGTCAAATAATTAGTGATAAAGGAGAAAAGGAGGTAAAGGAGTCCAGAAATCTCGTATTATTGTACAATGATGACTAAAACATATTTATTTCTTATTATTATTTTAGCCACTAATTACTGATTTTAAATCAACAAAACCTTTAACCTTCTCAAACCTTGCATTACGGAAGTCATGTATTTTTTCATTCACACATAATTAACCTCAAAAAACATCTAAATATCGCATCTTGTAAGATAAAAATAGATGAAGAGCAAGTAATAGTCTCCCTAACAAGATGTTTTGTAGGATAATGACCACAAAACTCACAGTGAATATAAATGATTTAATATAACACGCAGTACCTGAAAAAGTGATTCCCACTAAAATGTGTTATAGGCATAATTAAAAAAAAATATTATTATAATTTTGTCCAAAAAACAACAACAACAAACCATGATATGGTGACATGGGTTTAGATTTCTATTGAAAAATCTTTCTGTCATGAAAGGAATTTCTAATAGTCGTTTAATCTAAATTCTAATGCCACATTTTAAGATAATTTTAACGGTCCCCAGATTTCTAGATTCAAATGAATTCTACACCATGTGTACAAATATGAATGTATACCTCATAAATATAGAGATTTCCCATTCTGATGCTGTACACATTAGCATAAATTTGCAACTATGATTTGAAATAAAATTTATTAATTTATACATAATGAATTGTATATTGAATAAATTAAAGAATAACATCTTAGCGTACATATTTTTAAGATCCACACTTCTTTCTTACATCTTTTTGCAAGAATGATTCCTGCAAAAATTACCAGTACTTAGACATATCAAGTTTATAAGAATGTTTGTACATACATTCAAGTTTTGTATAAGAAAGCTTCAAGAAAATTTACTCAAATTAGAGGTGCCTTTTTAAAGAAATTTTAGAACTGAATTAAGTATCATTAGTGTTTGAAATTATTTTTTGTTCAATAGGATTTCAGTATTTCAAATGAATCGAAGCACATTTACTTTGGTAAATCGGCACTTTTAATCAGTCTAATAATTTGACTGTTTATAAAAATAATTTAAAACACTAAGGTGGTTAAAATTTATAAGTACATATTTACAAAATTAAATTGGTCAGGCGCGGCGTGAACCACTTTAATCTCATTATTTAGAAATATATAGAGCTACATACTTTTCAGAAGTTTTATCATATACTCATACTGAATATCGATAACTTGGCCGTTCGAGCAAGCGCCTATAAAATCATACAGGACTGTTTTCATTTCTCCGTCAGTATCGAAAATTTCAGCGATGTTAAAGTAGAGTGAATAATGTGCTCAGTGAATAGAGATATATATGATTTAACAGTTGTGGATTTTAAAGGTGTCATACAAATAAATGTCAGTTTAATATATTATTAACAAAATAAATAAAAATTAATTATGTGCAATATCGTAAGGAATTTAATGAACAGCATGGATATATTTAATAGCGTGAAAAAATTAAATAATGAAGGAGCACCTGTTTAACTTAAGTCTCTCTAAATAACAATTTTGCTATGTGAGGACTTAATCAGTGAAAAAGTTAATAAAAACGGGAGATAAAAAAACCTACAGGGATTAAAGATAGGTATAAAACGCCAGAGATAAAAAAAACAAGTTTGGAAATAATTCGTGATGATTGAGGCAATGCAACATTTATCATTTATTCACGAACCACATAATATTTTTGCAACTTTGTTAATAACTGTTACGTTCGTTCCAGCATATTGTGGAGTCATAGGTAAGCATCTTGATTTTCCAGTAATGTAGTTATCAAATTATTTTATTACCAATGATTATATTGGTGTCTGGCATCTGCGTCTACATTTTAAGAATAAAAATGAATTGAACTGAATAGGTCCACTCTAATCTGTTAAAGGCACATTATGCCTCAAAATACACAATTTTTAATCTTTTGAAAAAGTGAAACATCTCTTTAATAACGTTTTAATTAAAGTTGTATAGCCTGTTTGATGGTTAACAACTGAAAAAGTATCGATGAACATGCAGTAATGTGTCAGAAATGAAGCAAATTGTACACAAAGTTCATGTAGTATTTTGACCTCCATACGAAATACTTATCATCTTAAATTATTCAAAGTGCAAGTCGAGAAAAAGAAGTAAAACAAAGTTTATATATACGGCATATTCATCAGTAATTTCTTTTGAGTCTTAACTAAAAACAAAACAATTTGAGAAATAAAAATGATAGCATTTCTGAAATTCTGAGGTATAATGGGCCTTTAAATGCGATCTTCCGCACAACCGTGGTCACCGATCCAAGTCGCCGTTAGTATAATACCCAAAAATCAGCAATTCAGATGGGAGTAATTTAATATGTCAAGTAGAATTTTCTACATAAATAGAAATCCAGACAAAAATACTATCATCACCGGTTTTATTTTTCTAACGGGTTATTTAATGTGTTATTTAAGTAAAGTAGCAAAGTCAGTCCTTGAATACCACATAAAAATGCAACATCCATCGATATTGCAAATGTTGATTTGAGTTTATTTAATATCTAATATTCCCCCATCACAACCATCACCCCTTGCATCTGACCTGGGACAATCTGTCAAGATATACAGATAATCGTTTTTTATATATTTAAAAAAAAGTGCAAATTAGGTTAACTTGGGCAATTCTTTTTATACTTCACACCATTTAAATAATTCAATGTTTAAGATCAGAATCACTTGTGTGGATAACAACCAATGACCCTGTAATGTGGCTGGTTTAAATTATTAAACATTTTGTTCAAATTGACAATGTTCATGTTAACTTCACTGTGAAGGTCGCAAGGTTGATAAATGGATTCGCAGCAAGGTTTTATCCAAACCGTATAATGTTAGAATTAGAAAAATTGAAATAGGTTAAAATGCATTAATTATATGATAACATGGTCGGATGCGGTCGGCACGTTGTAAAAAGAGGCCATGCGATTGTATCTGATAATGTCACCATCTGCTGCCGTTAAATTACTCATCAATAATAAACCGATTTCAAATAATGAATCATATCTGATTGATTTATCTGGCCGTTTAAGTAAAATCCATAATTGTTTCAATTAAATTTACCGCTTCCAGTTAAATGCCTTCCCAAGTGACTCCAATTGTCCCTGGTTGTGAATTATAAGTAATTAAAATGCTTATTTCTAAAAAAAAATGTGATAATAGATTCATAGTAATTGATTATATTTGTTAACTTTGTAGTCACTTCAAAATACGTTAAAGTGAATGTGCCTATAATGAAAGGTCTTTAATACCATAAATAATAATGTTAATAGTATTTAATATAATATATGACAACAAATCACGAGTGAATTGCATATGGATGTTGTTGGTAAGTTGGTATCACATGTCTATATAGAGCAAATAATAAAGTGTTTTAGAACAAAATTTTATTTTTCATCATATAAATATTCATACTAAATAACTTTGAACTGTTCATAAGGATAAAAAAGACACATGTCTATTGTTTTTATCAATATTTAAAATACTTATGGAAATTTGCTGGTTCAAGACCAAGCCACTTTAAATGGAAAATTTTCATATACATTGTATGCTTTGTCAAGGTTATATATTTAGCTATCTCATGGTCTTCATAATACTTTAATATTAATATTATATACATAGCACATTTCTTAATCTAATTAAGCTGAGCACAAATCCGAATAAACCGGGTTAATAGGAACATTAAAATATGCAAAAATATGACAAAGTAAAAGGAAATAAGTGTTTATTATCAGTTAACACATGTCAATGTCTGAGGCATTCCCAACAGATGAACTATAGTTTTATGCAAAAAAAATAAAATAAAGAAAGAAAAAAATTGAAAGATTAATAATCTAAAAGCATATTTTAAGTCTTTACATAGCGTGTTAAAACTGTTGTTCATTAAGAAACCGAAAACACAACTTCATTAATTTGGCATTTAATTTAAAATCCAATTAGCTATATATTAATATAGCGTTGTAATTGCAATGTTATATGTAATTCATTACGTGTTATTATGTTTGATGTTTTTACAATACTTGTTTTTTATCCTTTATTGCTTCTCTTTGAATGTTAGATAAAACTTTAGACTCAATAAAACTGAGTGTACGATTAACAACTTGTTTGCATTTTTATTTTTTGTTGCTTTCGATAGATCTCCCTTTTCCAGATTTTTAGTTAGATATAACATAAAAAAGACATTATGCCCATCCCAGGGTATATAGTGAGTGGACACATAAAAGATAACATACATTTAGCCATAATTCCTTTTCAATTTTATAATTTACTTTAAGTAAACAATAAATAACTTATGTTGCCCATGTTTATATTTTTTATTTTATGCTTTTCAGTGGATTACTGATTTATCCGTGAAAATTATATTTGATAATTTCACAGTGAAAATTATCAAAATATAATTTCATTTTTTTTCAATCACAAAACTACTTTTTTAAGATTTTCCCCATGTGGTACCTCAATTTTATTTTAACTGACAATTCTGACAATATCAGGCTGTTGAAAAAAATAGCAAAGCTGAAATAGATAAATAACTTAAATGTCAAAAGTAATAAAGAGATAAAACTTACTTCTATTCCTTCAAATTCCAATCACAAAATTTCGTCTCTAATTTTTTTTGTTTCGTTTTTACAGTCTGAAAAATACATTCCTTCCCCATGCTTAACTGCTCTTGATGACATTTGGGCATATTAAAGTATCCTACGAGCAATAACTGCCGTATGCTGTATGAAAAATTGAAAAGCATAGACAGCCATCACTCTTAAAATAAGTAAATCAACCCAGCGTTCCTTACAATTCAATACAATGCCTTAGCAAGCTTCCAAGTTTTCCATTTTCCTAGCTCCTTTTCTTAATGTTTTCACTTCTGTCAACACTTATTTTTTGTCTGTTACAATCCTCAAATAAGTTTTCTTTCTTTTAAAAAGGTGTATGACTAACAAATCCAAATTATATCCTTTTGAATCTTACACAATTATTTTCCTCCCATGAAATACACAACTTTAAAAAATGGCTGCCGCTTACATTTTACAAAACCATGTCTAATATAAATTCGCAGTAAGTAACAGAAATATGGATGGATGGTTGGACTTTTTCTCCTACAAGAATTGTTTGTTTTTATTATTAAAACAAGCGATCATTCATATTTTTTTTAATAAAATGAATAAATATCACCGTCATTTAACCTTGATTGGCGGACTTATTTCTCAGCTCAAGACTTCTTGTTTTTAATGAGAAATTCCCTCTGAATGGGGCTCTTAATGGGGGAAACAGATTTTAATATTAACGTTAAAATTATGGAAATTTCGTTTTAACTTGTTTTAAAGCATAAAATAAAAAGAAAATTTGTCTGTTTGTTGTGTAAGATGAATTTTATTTCATCTCGTGAACTTTAAAAACAGTATTCTCACTCGTGGCTACGCCACTCGTGAGAATACTGTTTTTAAAGCCCACTCGATGAAATAAAATTTCATCTTACACACAAACAAACAAATATCCTCTATATCCTAAACATTTTCCAATGTAAACTGTTGGTCAATTCCCATTAAAACAGTCAATCATTTAAAATATGTAATTAATTCAGCTCGACTTAACAATGGAAAAATGAGCATCATGTCACATTAAGAAACCAGAAATAGGTGAATGATTCTTAGTTTTTGAAAACCACTGACCAAATTGGGCAAATCTATGTAACGTGCCTTGTTTTTTATTTACTTGTAAATGTGTATAATTTTTGTATATTACAGTAAATTACTTAATTAGATTATATCAAAATAATGTCACAGAGTAAATAATGTTAAAGGTCACGAAGTTTATACATAATTTCACACAAGTGCCATCGAAGGACAGAAGCACATCTAATTAATCGAGGTTTAAAGTAATTTTATTGGTTATTTAAAACACTTTGATAGTCCATTATTAGTATCGCCACCAACTCCAAATAACTTGGCTAGTCCGCCTTGCACCGAGTTGTTCAGGAAAATATCGAACTATGTAGTGGAGGGAAAGTACCATGCACTTATCTAACTTTAACAACGTTAGTTATCAAAATTTAATAATGAAATTGATAATAATAGTTCAATATAACGTAGCATGATTATGTTGACTTTGTATTATCGGTTAGTCTCCGTCGACCATCTACATATTATCCCAGCGTTTTACGAAGATTTGTTAGGTGGATTCATTTCAGATTTAAGGATATTTTTAAGTGATAACTTACCAATTTTTTCAATTTATGATATCTAGTGCTGATGGTTAACTAGTCTCATGGATGATGAATTACAATTCCCTATATTGTTAGTGTTTTGATTCTAAACAGACGTTTAAAACGTTTTGAAACCTCATAAAGTCTACTAGATTGTAATGAAAAAATAGCGAAAACTAATTACAAAATTAACATACTAAAAAGGTAGGATATCCCAAGAGCAATGTAAAATAAAATTGATTAGTGAAAATTCCTAACACAGTTTGATTAAATCTGTTCACGAGAGACAATGAAGAATGCATCGTGTGCCATACCCCCTGGCACCGGTTTAAGGAGATGGATATTTTTTTAAATTGTTAATTTATTGTACAAATATTGTATGGACTAGAAAATATATTATGCATTTCACTTCTGCAGCCATAAGGTTCTTGTGACCCTCTTTTATTGGTATAAGAGTTTAATTAACCTTAAAGAATGCTTAGAAAAAAATATGAAAGCATGGTTTTATAAAATTAGGCAGCAAAGAAA